CCCCCCCCGGTTCCTTCCTAACCCTTGGAGGGCTTGTGCCACATTGCAGGGGCAAGGGGTGCTGGCTTCCACTGGGGCTTCGCACCGCTGAGCCAATGCCAGCAACCACAGGTCGGCCCTGAATGAGCCCATTCCCCTGTGCCCCGTCTCTCTGTCCCAGTGTCCCCACGCCCCGGCCACCCAGCGTTCCCCGCACACAGGCAGGAGACAGCAGGAAAGGCAGACAGCCCAGATTCTGGAGCAAAAATAGAGTTTATTTCCATTTTTATTGCATATAAAAAAATAGCATGTATTTCTCTGGGGCTCACCCAGCTGCAGCAATAAATACAGTACAAAACACACCGCTTGAGAGCCCCTGCCGGGGCGGGCTGTGAAATTTCCAGTACGCAAATACGCCTGCGTGGGCCGGTGGGAGCTGTCGGCACAGCCACGAGACTGGGGGGCTGTGCCGGGCTTGGGGAGGACAGGACTGCGTCCTGCCGTGCCTCGCTCGCTGCGACAGTGCAGAGCTGCTCCCCCAGGCCAGGAGGTGGGTGCAAATAAGTTAAACTGCAATAAATACACTGAGTTTAGCAGGGAAGGGGGACGGGCGCTGGCAGAGTGGAGATGCAGTCCCCCCAGAGGTGCTAGGGCTCCCCTGGAAAAGCCTCATCCTGGGAGGCTGCTGCATCCCTACGGCACCTTTGTCCTCCCTTCCCTCCCTCTAACCTAATGGCTAATAAATATGAATTAATGTAACTATGCCTAATAGAAATAACACCTGTCAGATCTGTCCCTGCAGGCTGCAGCCCAGGCAGGGAGATGCTGCTCTGAAGCATCTTCATCCACAGATGAAGACTGTTTCCCCTTGGCCAGGTGGGACGCTGCAGGGGTACCCGCAGCGCCTTGTGCGAGCCATGGGGAAACCGAGGCACACGCGGTGCCTGCGGCAGCTGCAGGGGCTCAGCCCAGCTCCCGAACCTCGTAGCAGAGATACGCTTTTGTTTAAATATTAAACAAGGGTGATGCTGCGCACAGATACCCGTGCACGGATGCCACCGCAGGGCTGGCTGCCCTGCTCGGGGACCGAGGGGCGGGGGAGCATCCCCAGCCAGATAAATATTAAATAGCGATAAATATTAAATAAGCAGAAAAGCCAGGCTCTCCTGGGGAAGGTCACTCAGGCTGGGACATAAATAAATAGGGTGCGGTGGTGGTGCAGGGCCAGGCATCAGAGGCGGGTGAGGTGCCGCAGCGCCCGGTACGCCGTCTCCAGGAACCGCTGGAAGTTGGCCAGGACGAAGAAGCCGCCAACCTGGTGGTGGAAGTGGGAGGACAAGGCGGGGAGGGGGCCCCGGCTTTCCGTGGGGTACGTCACCGTGGCCAGACCCAGGTCCTCCATCTGCAGCCGGGTAGAAGCAGAGGCGTCAGCTCCCGAACCGGGAACGTGGCAGCATCCCGGCAGTGCCTGCGGAGCTGGTGCGAGCCCAGGGATGCAGAGCCCCGGGTCCCTGCTGTGCCCTCCCCATCTCCCTGGGGATGCAGACCCTGTGCATGCCCACCCCGGCCCCCTGACCCACCCTGTTCCCCCCTCACCTGCTGCTGGATGTTGGAAGAGAGGTTGGCAGCATCCAGCTGCAGGGTCTCCACCAGCCCGGTGTGCCCGGGCAGCAGTTCCTGGACAGCGGCGAGGGAGCCGTGGTAGATGCGGAGCCCATCACGGATCTGGCTGAAGCAGGCCTCCTGCGGGTGGGCACAGCGTGGTCAGCAGGGCTCGGCACAGCCATGGTGGGCTTCGGGCTGCCCCAAGCAGCGGTGAAGCCGTCGGGGCTGAGACCGGCCGACTCGTGGCAGAGGTGGGCTGCCAGCACTCACCGCCTGGAAGGTGCGGCTGTGGCACTGCTCCAGCGGCGCCTGTGTGATGCCCAGGTCCTGCCGCACCAGCAGCAGCTCTTCCTCCTTGCACAGCTGGAAAGTGTCGCACTGCGGCCGAGAGGGACGGGGTCAGGGCGGCCGCAGGACCCCGCCGCCCCCCAACACCCCATCCCTGGGATATGGGACCCCCCCCGAGCCCAGCCAGGAGGATGGAGGGGATGGGGTGGACCTGCCGCCCGGTGAGATGGGGATGGGACAAGAGCAAACCGCGGTGCGGCACAGCTGCCCCGGCCGCCGTGTGGCACCAGGGAGGACCCCACACGTCCCCGAGGGAGCAGCGGGGCTCTGCGTGGTCGCAGCCCCTGCGGGTGCCGCCGGGGCCCCAGACCTGAGCAGCGCAGCGGGGGGGCCGAGGCGCAGGGGACACCACCGGCTCCCGGCCTCGCGGTGCCGATAAGGCCAGGGAGGGCAAGGTCACCTTATCGGTGACCCTGCAGCACCCACGGCCACCGTCCCCCCTCCGCCGTGCCCGGGACTCACCACCACGCGCTGCAGCGCGGCCACGTCCCCCTTGATCTTGCGGGTGAACTCGAGGTTCTTCTGCAGGAAGACCTGGAATCCGTGGTCTCCCGAGAGCTCGGCCAGCGGTGCCCCATGCAGCGTCCGCCACGGCGCCCACAGCAGCGTGCCCAGCAGCAGTGCCAGCATGCCTGCGGGGACAGCGGCTCAGCGCCCGTCGCGGGGACAGCCCCGTCCCCAACCCAGCGCCGGGGTCTGGGCTCAGCAACCAGATGCTCCCCGGGGATGGAGGCACCAGCACAGCCTGGGGAAGGGGCAGGGACCTCCCAAAAATAGGGAAGAGGGACCGGGCGCTCCCTGCGTCCCACCAGCCCCACGGTACTGGGACCACAGGGCAGCGGGCTGTGGGTGTGCAGGTGCAGCGGGTGCTGGGGTGCAGTGGGTGCTACAGGTAGAGTGGGTTTTATGGGTGCTGCGGGGCAAGTGGGTGCTGGGGCTGCGGGTACTCACGGGTGAGGGAGCACATGGTGTTCGGCTTGGTGTCTCCTCCTCTCTGCAAGCGCGGCCCCGGCCCAGCACAGCTCGCTCCTGCCCCGGTTCTGCGCGGCCTCATCGATCAGGGCATTTATAGCGGGCTCCGGGGATTCACACTGATGTGGCAACAGTGATGATTGCCTCATTGTCTTAATCACCAACATGCAAATCCTGGGAGCCGGGTGCTCCCAGCCGCTGCCCACACCTCGTTGCTTGCGGGGCTTTCCCGAGGCCGGTGGGCAGCGGCGCCCTTTGGTGCAGCAGTGGGTGCCCAGCGCGGCTCTGGCACCAGGACGGGTGCCGGAACGGTGCTGGTGGTGGTTTGGTGACTCATTAACCTGCTCGCAGGGCTCCCGCCTCACCAGCCGGGCTGGAAGGTGCCCAGCGCCACAGGGTCACTTGTGGGTGACCGGGCAAGGGGACGGTGGCTTTTCACAGCCGGCGTCCCTCCGGGATCGTTGCCATCCCCAGCCCGCGTGTGGACATCTCCCCCGCCAGCTGCCTGAGCCCCTCACCCCAGCATCAGGGTGGGCACCGGCGGCATGACCTTCACGGTGGTGGGACCAGCTGGAGGTGGTCAAGGTGATACCCCATCCAGGCACCTGTCCAGGGCCCGTGGCACCCCAGCTCAGCACCTGGGGCCAGATCCTGCCCTGCTAGGTGTCATGGGGCCAGGCTGTGCTCACCATCCCCGTGTGCAGCACCGAGCACCCAGACGTATCGGGGTCCTGACGCCCCCATGCCCCCCCCCCGCCCTGGCGACGGGCTGTCCCCGCCTGCCCCTTCGGGGAAGCGGCTGCAGGGCAGCCCCGAGAGCGGGGCCGGCTGCTCCCTCTCCTGCCATGCTGACGTGGGAATTTTGGCTTGTGCTGGTTCCCGCAAGTGCTTTCAGGATGATCTGCTGGGCCGGTGCCAGCTGGGCCGGTTCCTGGCCGGCACGGGCTGGACAAGGTGCAGGAGGCACCCACTCAACCCACAGCCCAGCCCCAGGACCTGGAGGGGTCCCAGCAGGGCAACCCTGGGGCAACCCTCTGCCAGGGGGTCTCACGCTGCCACACTGCCCCCCAGCCTGGGTCCCACCACTGCCCTCCTGCAGGGGACAGGGACCCCGTCCTTACATGCCACAGACCTTGGTGCACATCGGGATGGGCTGCACACCCGGTGGGGTACAGCCCACAGGGTACAGACAGTAGAGCCAACCCCAAGGCCCAGGGGTTGCTCCTGCCTCCAGCTGGAAAAGGAACACCCAGTGGCTGCAGCCAATCCATGAGCACCACCCAGGGCCTCACCTGCTATGAGACAGGTGTTAACTCTGAAACCTAATGATGACTTCCCTTCCCAGGACCTAGCAGCACTAAGCGTTCTGCCCTCAGGCTGTGTGAAAGGACCTCAGCAGTACAGCCTGTTGGTGGGATTTCCTGGGAGAAACCCCCCATGGTGGTGCATGTGCCCTCCCCGGAGCTGGGGGAAGCCAGGGCCCTTCTGGAGCAGGTGGCTGTCAAGGGGGCTTAGCATGGTGTGCCTGAGTGCCTGTAGGATCACCCTGTTTCCCAGAGTGGAGCTGCCGTCTCAGCAGGTCAGTGCTTTCAAGAATTGGGGGGGAGGGGGGATGGGGATGTGAATCAGTGCCTGGTGGGGCCCAAAGCCCCCGTCAGCTTTCCAAGGAAGGAAGTGGTGGCCGGACCCGAAACCCTGTGGGTGTTGGGGCGCGGGCGGTGGAGCTGGCCTAGCACAACCCCCCCCGCCCCCAGCACTGGAGCTGCCCGGCTTGGCCCTGGGGACTGTCCTGGGCACCCGCCCCACTGCGGTTCTGCCTCGTGGCCACCCTTCCTCTCTGCGGGGCCTGACTCGGGCACCCTTGGCCCCTTCTCGGCGTCTGCCAACAAGCGAGCACTTCCAGGGTGTCCCTGTGTCCCCGGTGCTGGATTTGGCATCCCCAGCCACTGGCTGGGCTCTCGCCTTCCCTGCTCCATCCTGGTCTGCTCCAGGGATCCCAGGGGTGGCTCTGGAGCAGGGACAGGCTCCATCCACACCCTGGAGCAGCCCCACACTTGACCCTCAGCCCCTGGCCGCCAGCCCAGCATGGGGGTGCTGGGAGATTCCCAGATTTCCCCAGAGAAGGAGCCCAGCTGGTCCGAGATGTTGCCAGGATCCACCCGGAATGGCTGCGTATCCCCTATCCCCATCAATCCGCAGGGCTGGTGCCTGTGGGGTGGAGGGGGGACGACGATGGTGGGGCACAAGGAGGACACAGCCTGACCCCCTTGCCTTTCCCGGCAGGGTGAGGGGGTGGTGGGGCTCAGCCCTTTCCCCATGTGCATAACTGCGCATATAGTGCCCATGCCAGTAATCCCTGCTCTGGTCTTTGTCTGCAGCAGCAGAACAAAGCGGCTTTTGGGAAGGAGGATCCGCGGGCTGGAGCAGATGGCATCCGCTGGTGCTGGCCAGGGCGCTCCCTGCCTGGTCCCACTACTGCCGTCGAGGCCCGAGTGCCCCCGGCTCAGCTCTGAGCTGGCCCACCGGTCTTGCAACCCCCCAGCACCCCATCCCTGAGCTGCCAGGACCGGTCCCAGCACTGCTGGGATGTTGGCTCCAGCCCCCTGGGGGTGCTCTGGGTTGGAGCTGGCCCCAGCTCTGGTCCCTGACCCTGGGGAGAGGAGCAAGGTAACAGAAGTCAGCCCCACGTGCACTCCCAGTCACAACAACAAAGCCACGGCAGAAGCAGGCCAGGCTGGTGTTTTTCCAACTTTTATTTTAAAAGTCATAATTGAAGCTTAACAAAGTTTGACCCCATTATTGTTGCAAGAGCTGGGGGCACCCACAGTCCCCGCGGAGCCATCCTCCTGCCCCCCGCCTGCCCTGGCCCTGTTTCCCCAGGAGCTCCCAATTCATGGGCTCGTCTGCGCCTCCGCCGGACTCAGCAACGACCGTGACCACAAGCAACCTTAAAAGAATGTTTGTTTATTGGGGAAGGAGGTTCCCGCCATGGGTGGCAGGGGATGGGAGAGCAGGGCTTGTGGCTGTGGGCCCGGGGAACCCCTGTGCCCCCCTCCCACAGTACAGACATGCAGGTATTTATAAAAGAAAGGCAGACGGGGGGACCGGGGCTGTGTGTGGGAGCTCCGCTCAGACAGCATCTTCCCCAGGGACAAATAAAAAAATACAGCCAGGCCAGAGGGTCACGGAAAACCGTCATCATCGTCCTCTGCCATCTCCTTAGCGAACTCCAGGTCCTGCTGCTCACGCTCCCGGCGCTCCTGGAAGGCAAAGGCAGAGGTTGGTGGCAGCTGGGGGACAGGAGCCGTGTCCTTCCCGTGGCGTCGGTGGCCACTGGGCTACAGTGCCAAGCGGTTTCTGGCAGCAGGCTGCAGTGACCCAGGTGAGATCTCACCTCTGCAGATTCCAAGTCCTTGTTGTAAGATTTGGGTGGGAACCTCATGGCCTGGAAACAAGAACGGAGAGGAGAAGCTCTGAGCTGAAAAACTCATCAACTCTGCCCCGCTGTCTCTGTCAGCTGGGCCCTGCCAGCCCCTCGCCCAGGGACCTGCCGCGCTCACCTTGACGGACATGTTGTGGATGTCGAGGCAGAAAGAGATGCGCTGGTGAAACGCTAGCTGGGGCTCCCGGGTGGAGTAGATGTCGATCATTTCCTTCGACTGGACGTAGCCCTTCTCGTGATTAATGCTGGCCTCTATCACACCGTCCCGAATGGCCTGCAAGCCGGAGGGCATGCGGTCAGGGCACCCGCTGTCTCCGAGGGCTGAGGCAGCAGTTTAGAGTGAAGGGAGGAGCTGGCTGCTGTGACAGGAGCGGTGGGCTCAGGACACAGCGCACAGGGAGGGGACTTGGTGCCCTGAGTGTCCCCAGCATCCCCTGGAGGGGCCTCAACCTGAAACCGGCGACTGCCCCAGGAAGGGAGCGCTGCAGGGACAGGGCAGAGGCAGCCTGGCAGGAGAGCGAGGCCAGCTGCCAGAACCAGGGGCTGTGGGCAGCCCAGGACCCAGAAGGACAGGACTTCATATGCAGCTACCTTGGCAACGATGAACTCCGCATCCTCCGGACTGTCCAGCTGCAGTTTCTGGGCAATATCCGCCAGGGAGATGCGAGAATAGGAGAGGCTGATCATACGGACACCTGCGGGGGAGGAATGAGAGTGGAGCCCGCCGGGCCGGGCAGCCCCGGGCCCGCCAAGCCCGTGGCATCAGCCGTGATGGGGTCCCCAACCACCGCAGCGGCAGTCTCCTACCCGTCTTGATGACGTTGTGCCTCAGACGAATGATCAGGGTGTAGGTGCCGTCGGCCTGGAACTTGTCCCCAAACTGATCGAGGACTTGGTTGAACTTGGCCAGGTTCCCCGTCCTGACGGCTGGAGGAGAGAACGTGTTAATGGGGGAAGGAGCAAGGGCCGGGGCACGGTGGGGAAAGCGAGGCAGGGCTGACTCCCAGGCCTGCCATCCCCTCCTCCCCAAGTGGAGTCTGCAGCTGAGTGCCATCGAGGGGAGAGGAGAGAAATCCCCACTGCTCCCCAGCCCAGGGCTTCCCACTCCCTCAAAGCGCCAGACATTGTTGTGAGGGACTGAATGTGGGCAGGAGCGGCCTGTCGTACCCTGAGTCAGGAGGAAGTAGGGCATGAGCGACCGCTTCAGGGAGGGTTGTCTGAACTGGAGCCTGTCTGGGATCTCCCCGAGCAGCAGTTCCACCACAATGAGCAGCTTGTGCACCTTGAGCAGAAAAAGACGGTGAGTTCCTGCAGGCCCCAACCCTTAGGCAGCTTCCCCGGGGACCCAGGAGGTACTGAACCCCAGAAACTTCCCATCCCCACTCACCGTCTGCTTGAAGCCGACGGCTGTGTGCTGCGGTGCCTTCCGCAGGGCGTTCGTCATGGTCCTCCGCGCCTCCGAGTACTCCAGCTGGATGGCCTTGATGCGCCCTGCGGTCACAGGGGGCAGAAGGCATTTGGTAAAGCCACCGAGTGAATCCAACTGGAACCACCCGGATGGGGCTTCAAATCCTGCCTGGAAGGCCCATCTCCAGCTGCAAAAACGGGTTCTCTGGGGAGCCAGAGCTCTTGACCTCAGGTGCAGGCCAGGCTGCCAGCACCATGCGGGACCCTCTGCATCTCACCTGTGTAATAGAGGTACCGAGCCCACTCGTTGTTGTTGGCCTGCTCGGGAAACACGGACTTGGAGACGAGCTTTTCTGCTTGGTCGTAGAGGTTGTAGTGAAGATAGTTCCTCAGCAGCAGGTTCAGGAGGGTGGCTTGCCCATCTGCATCATGGCGCAGCGTGGCTGTCCGTAGCCGGGCATGCAGGAAGCTGGAGGAAAGGGAGAGAGCATGTCAGGGAGGAGGAAAGAACCAGCCCTGCTCAGCGGGGCACGTGGGACCAAGCTCAGGGACAGCCCGCACGCAGGACCCACCCTACCTCCTGACCACGTCGAGTTTATTCAGGAATTCGTAGATGCGGGAGTGGTAGTAATAACATTTTGCCACCACCAGGTCAAGGGCCCGGCGGTTTTGGGAACTGATCTTCTGCATCAGGTCGTCAGACACTTTCTGAGCCTGCAGGAGGGGAGCAGAGGTCAGAGCAGAGGGACTGCTGCCGGGAAGAGCAGAGAGACTGCCAGGGCTGTGGGACTGAGCCTGGGAGCTGCCTCCAAATACAGCTGAAACAAAGGGGAAAGTGTGGTGCCGCAGACAAGCAGGTCTGAGGCTCTCCAGACCCCGTCTGGTGCAGGAGCACCACACAAAGAGCTCGGCTTCAGAACCAGCAGCTCAGCGAATCTCACCTCCGGGTATCGCTTGCTGTTCATCAGGTAGATGACGAGAAGCAGTTGGAGGTAGGTCTCCACTTCTGGCAAGAGAGGGGCTGAGGCCGCCTTCCCTGTCCGTGGGCGAAACTGCAGCTCTGCTTCAGTGTCCATGGACTGGGGGGAGAGAGACATGCTGGATCCCCATCCCGCCAGCGTCACTGCCACCCGCAGCGAGGCCTGTCCCCAGCCTGTCCTCGGTGACAGCTCTGCTTGAGGTGTGAGAAGAGAGCCAGCCCAGGCTGCTGGCACTACAGTCCCACCCCTGCCAAGAGCTGCAGTGACCCATCTCATCTCATGTGCTCTCCCGAGTAGCTGGGCTGTGTGTCCCAAGTGTCTCCAAGCCCTTGCTGTTCCTGGTGCCCTCCCGCCCTGCACGGCCGCACTCTGGAGGCTCCTTGGTGTGCGAAAGGAGTCCCCTCCGCAGCCGGTCACCTCTCCCCATCCCCTGCCATCGTACCTCCTCCAGGAAGCCAAGGAGGAAATCCCGGACGGTGCTGTTGGAGGTGAAGAAGCCATTGATGGCTTTGTGAAGCACATTGGAGTTGAGTCGGCGGGAGGTGGAGGGCAGAGCCCGCAAGGCGCGCAGGACGTAACGCGGCTCCTTCCCCGACACGGCCTTCTCCAGCTGCTTCACATGCTCCTTGATATCTGCAGGAGCAGACGGGATGCACCATCAGCACGCGTCTCTCAGAGGCCTCTGCCGAAGGATGCACCAGAGCAAAGCTGGTGCCGGGATCTCTCCGGGTACCAGGTGCCCTGTCCTGCTGCTGTCGGTCCCTCTGTCCGCTCGTGGGACTGGGGCTGTGTGGCCTCGGTGTCCCGAGTGACCTGACGCGACCCCGCGGTTGTCCCTGCTTGGAGCAAGGGGCTGGAAAAGACCTCTCCAGAGGTTCCTTCCCCCTCGTTCCCCCTCCGGGCTCCAGCCTCCCTCTGCCGCCCCACGGGGTCCCACCGCAGCATTTCTGCAGCTCCCCCTGCCCCTCACAGGGACTCTCCCACCTCCCTTTCCCTTACAGCCCCCCCAGCTCCTTTTCCCCACACTGATCCCCTCCATTCCCCTCCTCCGACACCCTTTCCAGTATCTCTCCCC